AGTTTTACAGATGTGTCTCGAGCTCGAGTCCTCATCGAAAAGAATCTCAATGATGACTCATATAAGAAGAGGAGGTTCGAAACCAGCTCAACGCTTTGACTTGTAATCTCAAAGAACAATAAACTATCACGGCACTTGCCACCATCATAAAAATTGTTATGAAAACGGATTGAATCTTTGCAATTATATCGAGACACAAACGGATGAAATTATCAGAGAAAATAATTACAAGAAACAATAATTGACACCGGAAATTTTGCATGGCTCTGTCCGAATGCCGAAACCTAGATTCATGAGGAGAGCCAGTAAATAATCAACTAATTAATCGAAGAATTACATAATTATAATCGCTCTCGCACTCGAAATTTTCACATCTAAATTACACCTAGTACCTCGCACACATATCTCACAATGCACCAAAGAGAAAGAGATCAAGTCCCATCCGGACGCAATGACTAAAATTGTCGAAGGACCTAGGGACCCCCCAAGAACAACTCTCTCTCTCTCTCTTTCTCTCTTTTCTTGGCTTATCTTCAAGATTTCAACTTCGTGCTGCTAGGAGACAAGAGGGCTTTGTTTTAATGTCCTCCCTTCATTTATTGAGCAGCGTGCGGAAGTCTTCTGTTGCGGCCAAGATCCCACCAAATCAGGACATGACCGTCCTATTCACTTCAAGCCAGCACGTATGCACCAAATGTAAATGCAGGAAGAGACAAAACAGAAACAATCGGTTGGATTTTATTTGCCCAGCCATACTCAGCTCGCTTTTAAGTGCAAATTCGAGATCTAATTTAACAATTATCCATCTCGACTGTTCATTTACTGGCAAGTTTTTCTATGCTGGCTTCCCAACGGGCGCTTATTCTCTATAGATGTCAATCGAGCTCCAGTAAAGCTCGAGCTTCACCAAAAGAACATGCTTCGTCAATGTCTATCGGTATCGGGTTTTCTACTGTTGAAACAACCTTCCCTCGCCTGAGGCAATCGAGGGCTCGCAGGCCCCAATGGCGAGGGTCACCGGGTCTCGGCTGGTGACCGGCAGCCCCTTGCCAGCCGTTAATAATAAAAAAATAAAAATAAAAGTAAAGAAGGAAAAAGAAAAAGAAAGAAAATATAAATATTTTAATATTTTAAAAAATTATTAAAAATTATCCACGTTAGGGATTTCCAGCTAAAATTGACCGGATGGATTCAATTGGTAAAAAGATGAAACATTTAGGACTCAATTAACATAATTAAAAGATTTAAAACTGAATTAATAGGTTTAAAACTTTTTCGACAATTTTCCTCTTTTATATCCCGTTTGTGTATATCACCAACTCGAATTAGTATCTTAGAAATATTAGAGATGGGGAAAATTACCCAATCAGCTCTAAATTTATTGCACTAATGTCAGTTCGGTTCTACATTTTTTAATTTTTTTAATGTACTCCTAAACCTTTGCACGAAATTTCAAGGTAGTCCTTCGTGCCAATTGCCACCGGAAAATGGTTGACATATTGTCCAGTTATCTTCGATCTTCTTACAACTCGTGAATCGCCACGTAAGAGATCTAAGGACAGCTGGCCGGAAGGATCGCATTGGAATTTCAAGCGAATGTTTAAGATTGCATTGACAAAATTAGAAAGCTTACTGAATTAGTACCCGTGCAATAAATTTAGGATTGAATGAGCAATTTTCCCCTTTGATGGAATTTGTCCCTCATTTAGGGCTGTTTGTGGTAGATGGACCATAAGTCACCTTTGGAGAAATATCCAACGCTCTACACTTCATCTCCACCTTCTGCGCAGTTGCATAAACGCATACATCTATTAGACTATCACCATATTTTATATTTATTCTCAGATTTCAGATTCCTTCGACACATTACCTTTCATCGCTGGAAAGAAATGCGGACCAAATTAACTGCATCATGCCATTGACACAGAGAACCCGAGATCTGTTTCCAGAGGAGCGTGATGGAAGACGGCACAGAGAGTTCATGAACAGGGAGTATAGAGATCGACATCTTCAGCATCGTTGCATTCGCCGAGAGGCTCAATTACAAATAAAGCGAATAATCCTATCGGTATAGTTCACCTATCTCATGTTCGTCGAATGAAGCCGCTTACGAGGATGGACAATTACAAATGATCTTTTATACAGCTTCAATAAAAAGAGCTTGCGAACATACCTTTGCTCAAGAGCAGGAACTCGTGGCGTGTTGAAGCAAACCACGAGTGAAAAGAAAACAGATCATTGCGGTCATTTTCGTCATACATTTGAACAAAACAATATCGCCTCCAAATTCGAGCACCAAACGGAGTCTGAACATTTCTCGAGAACGAAAAAGGAAGCTTCTGCGAGAAATGTAAAGCATCTGCGTAGGGTGCTGAACGTTCCCAATTCGAGCTTCCGTGAGAATATTAAACAACTACAGATAATAAAACCTCCCGGTAAACATTAATAAACCTTAACATAGTGCATGAAGGAAAGCCAAAGTTCCAGTGACGAGCTTGAGCACAACAAACTCCGTTCGACGTCTGTAAGAGAAATAGAAGAGATCCTCTTACCCATCCGATGACAGATAAACATGGAATCCAGATCCACTTGCCCCATAAGCAATTTGCTCCTCATTCAACCCTGGGAATGTAAACCTACCAACATGCTTGATAGATGATACGACGGCAGTCACCAGGGGTACCTATCGGCAGCAAAGAAAGGTGTGCTTGAAAAGATCAAAAGTATATGGAAAAGGAATATCGTGGACGAAAACATCTAAGACACAATCAACCTTAAAACTAAAGCACCCACAAGCTGCGAGGTACCGTGTCCCAACAGGTACCGCCGCCAAATGTAATGATCGTGTTAGAAGTAAATGCCAAGAATGAGGTCCAAGATGGGACTTCAGCAGGAATCTGCTGAGTATTCAGCAGCTTAGGCTACTAGAGCCAAAATGCCTGCAGTCCCGCCTTTTAAGTAAGTTCAGAACTATTTAACTATACCATGTTCATGCACATATGGAGAGAGAGAGAGAGAGAGAGAGAGAGAGAGAGAGAGAGAGAGAGAGAGAGACCGTTTTAATCCTCTTTCATGTAAAGCATTGGACAATTGCTTCCAAGCATCGGACAATTGCTTCCGCATGTTATGAGAAGGTTAGTCATTGTCTTCATCTCAATTGTTGATTCATAGAACAAGTACCTGCATATATAAGCACGATAGATGCTTGAGCAACATTTAATCCCTGCAAACAATTGTACAGAAGATTCGAAACGCTGTACTAATCTGTATGAAAATTGGCCAAGCAAATACTCTAAATTCTGTCAGTCCAGTGATCAGCAAATGGTAGTTCACTTCCAAACAATTAGATCACCAAAGATGGACCAAATGCGGCTTACAGGTCACTAAAGTAGAGATCTTGCGCTTATTTAACCACATCTGAAAAAAGAGGTTTGCCACCCTGATTATTCATTTTTTTATGCTAACAGGGCAAATGAAATCAAAAACCATTATGCATCAGTCTTAATCTGTAGCAGCCACAAACAATAATATAGCACCCATAATATCTTGTTATGAGTACATGCAAGTGACTAAACTCAAATGTGTAAACAAACCCTTCCACTTTTCTCGTTGAACAAAGATCTAACACTAGTTCAGTGACAGTGGAGTTATGAGTAGGCTGAGGAGCAAAAAGCAACAGAAAATTAACACTTTTTTCACAAAGTACTCAAATCGAAGACATTTACATGCTACAAGGAAATCTTTTAAACACCCGTCCAGGTTAAGCTTCACTAGGCTGGGATCCTTACTGCATACAACCATCACTTATTTCATCAAAGCGACATCAATAGGCAACCCATGAGTTGCAAATAGTAGCAATACCCGCTAAAGTCGGTCTCCACACATAAAAGACCATAATAGCCAGAAACTAGTTTTACTAAAAAGATCTTAAGAAGCATGCTGAATACACAATGCATGTCCGTCTTTTGATTGGACAAACTGCTAATTAGTAGGATGGCACTAATCAGGGGATTGAACCCTAATACTTCCGCTTCTAGTTGTTCCACTAATATTTCTCCTATTACAGGGTTCAGTTCTTCTATTTGATGTGGTTAAGTTCTCGACCCGATCATGAGTTAGGATCCCCGTGGTCCAATCACTGCTTCAGGCAAAGAAATCTTAAAAGATGATTTGAAACCATCTGGTATTGGGAGGTATCAGTATCGGTACCAGCACGCCCTTGTTACCTTCTCAGTGAAAGCTTATATATCATTCAAAAAGTTTTACAGCTCTAGCCAGCTTGGCAGGTCCACCCAAAGCCCAAACCTTGACACATAAAGTTTCTTGTTTTTCAAGTAATGTGCAAGCTCGGGAGAGGCTTTTAAGGACAAAGGTTAGCAGAGCCAAACAACAGACCGGTCATTCTACAAGAGCATGCTCAAGCCCGACTCGACCCACACGTTGACCAAGTTTCACATGTAACATGCAACTTACACGTAAAGGGAGTACTAAGGAATGTGCTTGATATGTACAGCAGAACGAATTCCGACAGTGCAAGTAATCTGTGCAAAATCGTTGCTTGACAAATGATAGCCCAGTGCTGAAACACAATAAAACTTTCAGACAGCTAAAGAAACGACACGATCGGGTTCCGATTGTCTCATTCATGGTGAGATCCCAGATCAAAGAATAGCTAATTTAACGAACAGCTTGCCTGCATAATTTGCATTAACACTATTATTACAGGACAAGAAATTGCTAACAATGATAGCTACTCAAATTTGATTATCCAATGTCGAGGTCAAGCTACAAGTGAGGCAACGCTAGTCGCATAACACATAAACTGGGATATTGGGAGCTCCAGGCACATCAGCAAATGCAGATCAAGATCAACACTTCAATCAAAAGTAATGGATGAGAATGAGACAGCGGGTGGTCATTTGATGAAGGCCCGCTAATTACTCCAGTAAAATGACGGCATCCTGCTTAAATCAATCAACCCAAGTTCCAGAAGGGGGCGCTAAGTAAAGATGAAAACTTTATTGCAGATTGAGAAACGACCAGGAAGTACAGATGCTACAATGATCAATAATAGTAACGACAATAAACACAATAACCGAGACAGAATCATCCTAAACATTATTACAGAAACATGAAGTGTACAACAAGGCAAGAACACCCCGAAACACAAATTCATCCACCAGATTCATGTCAAACCCCGGGAAACCCCTGCATACCATTGCCCATCCCATTCAAGACATCTTGAAAAGCGAAGCTATCAAGCGATCCAAACCCATCAAGCAACCCCTCAAAGAAACCACTGTCGACCGAATTCAAGGCCAATTCCTCGTCCTCGACCTTGGCATCCTCATCTTCATCATCCTCCATCATAGCAACAACCCCAGACGCCTTCTCCTCATCATCAGCGGCGAACGCGGGCATGTGACCCTCGAACAGAGCCATGTGTCCAAACAACTTATCCTTCCTAGAGAAGCTGGTCCCGCAGGAACACCTCCACTTAGACTCCCCGCAGTGCTTCAGGTGGCTCTTCAAGTCGGCCAACACCGAGAAGCTCTTCTTGTTGCACCTGTTGCACGAGTACATCTTCGGACAGTGGCTCCTCTTGAAGTGGTTCTTCACGCAGATCACCGATTTCAGGGCCCGGAACTTCTTGTGCCCTTTGTTCCGGTTACACCCCTCGAAGGGGCAAGAGAACCGGGTCTTCCGAGGGACTTCTTCCACGCACTTCTCGGGCTTCGCCAGCGCCTCGGGCGTCTTGAACTGGTTGCCGTGCGCGCGCATGTGCATCCTCAGGTTCGCGTCCCGCTTGAACCCTTTCCCGCAAATGTCGCAGAAGTGGACATGCTCGGCGAGGAGCTCGACGGCGTCGAGCTCCACGATCTCGCAATCGGGCTCGAGCTCGTCCTTCTCGTCCTTCAATTCGACCTCCGGCAGCTTCGCCGCCGTCGAGGGGCCCACGGGGCTCCCGACCGGCGGCTTCGGATCCGAGGTCCCCGGCTCGGGATCCGATCTAGGGTTCTGGGAGCAGGCCAGCAGGGCGCCGCCGTTGACTATGATCTGGTGGATCGCCGACACGATCTCCGAGGAGACCATGTCCATCTGGTCCTTGCTCAGCAGCGTGTTGCTGCAGAGGGACCGCGACAGGAACTGCTGCACCGAGTCCATCTTTATGCTGACGGTGGCCAGGTTCAGGAGCGGGACGCGGGGGTCGCCCTCGCCGACGGGCGCGGATCCGCCGGCCGCGCCGCCAGAGGGAGGCTCCGCCGGGAGCGGGCGGGCTTCGCAGCAGGCGGGCTGGCTCATCGCCGCGGGATTCAGATCTCCGGGTGATCGGAGACGGCGGCGGGGGGGGGGGGGGGGCGTCGGAGAAGTTGGGAAGGGGGGACCGCGAGAGAAAATGGAGAGGGGGGATCGAACGAGACTTTTCTTCCTTCTTCCTTCTTTTGGCTTGCTGTGTTTCGGGAAGCGAGGCGAGGATGGGACTTTGGCCCAAAACGTTGACAAAAAGGGCGCCATGGGGATGGAGACGTGTCGAAAAGGTATTTGGACAGGTCAGCCGCACGCCACCACGTGGGCGGGAGCTGCCCCCACAATTCCTTGAACTAGTCGCATCCATCGCATTGAAATTGGATGCGAGAGAGAGAGACTCGCTTTGAATTTCGCAAATGAGATGGCCCCACTCAATCCAATTCTTATCGAGGTTCTGCTGTTTAGTACGTATACTATACACTCAGATGACGGTTCTCGTCTCAGACATAAAGTAATGAAATCCAATTAGTTTTGCGAATTCATCTTAAACCCGAACCGTGTTTGTGGAAGAGGAAGAGTATCATGAGCACATTGAAACATCACAACGCTGGCCACTCTCGTATAAAGTAACGTATCAAGGCTGTACCAAGGGTTGATTTGGGTTCTAACATAAAGTGAAGTTCTAAGATAAAGTACGTGTCGAAATCACGTAAAGATGGACCGATACTTGTGAACGCTTCATATGCTTGAGATTATCTTTTGGAAGCGGACAAGAGTCTAATGTGGCCTTTCGAATTTGTGTAGGGAAAAAGGTCTATTAGTTTGGCATCAAGAAAAAGAGAGATGGCACAACAAGTCAAGCAGGTGAAAGTGTTCAAAGATGGCTGCTGAGGCCAACTTGGAGCCATTTTGCCCTTTTCCTTTCACTTTATAATTTTTTTAATAGACCATCTGGAAACTTGCACATGCCTCTTTAGAATTTCTAAATAATTTCAACTCTGAAGGAAGCAAAAAGTCCATACAATTAAAGCATAAACAAAACAGACTGTCATTGAATGGGATTCCCCATAGTTTGAATGTGATTCCACATAGTGGAAACCATCATTAGTGCCAGGACATCAGCCCCTCTTTCTCTAGGCTATAGCTGATTACCACAGCCTCTTAATAACTTAAAAGAGGAAACCATCATACTGCTTAGAGATAGTGTAATGCTAAGAGCACTGTTTTTTCCAACTCCTGCTGGTTTTGTCAGATGCATGGAGATCAGCTTGCAACTCCACACATTTGGAAGAATCAACACAACCTCCGAATTTAAACAACAAACAACCGTCGAGCATTTCTCGATGTGTCCATTGATGCATTTACATCAAAAGCTCGAGTTTCTCGTCCGACGGATGAGTAGGATGGTCTAACCGGGAAGGCCATTGTTGCGGACTAGTCATGGTATCTGAGTAACAGCAGCGTGTATTGCGTTGGCCAGGTGAGGGACTGTATTGGCGCTCAGCCCCGCCATGTTGATCCTCCTGCACAAGACTTGATATAAGATGCGAGATATCGATGCAATGCCTAAAGCGAAGCTTTTCTTTTTCTGACTAATGATTTCTTGTATTTTGGTTTGTCAGCTAAACCTTCATTATATTTGAAGGGAACATAGGAGATGAGAAAATTAAAAAGAAACGAAAAATGCTTCATAGTAAAGAAGTTTGCTAAACATTTCTGAATCAAGATTTTGCTAAACATTCCTCATTCAAGCTTCCACTATTGAGAATATAGCATGTTCATGAAAACGGAAACCTCCAAGTTAATGGCCATAGACCTGCCGCCGAAGTATTTTCCTGATTAAAGCCAAAGATCCTGTAATAAGATCTTGTACATGACGGACTTCCATTTACGTCTATAAGACAAGTAGAAGAGATCCTCTCACCCATCAGATGACATATAAATATGGAATTCCCTTGTCATGAAAGCAATTTGCTCCTCTTTCAACCCTGAGAATGTAAACAAGCCGACGTGCTTGAGGATATGAGTCCAGTCACCAGGGGTCCCTGTCAGCAAGGAGAAGTGTGCTTGAACATTTGAGTACACAAAACGAAAATATGAAATGCAATTAACCTCCATAAAACTAACTCTAAAGTACTGGCAAGCTACAAGCAATCATATCCTAACAAGTATTGCCAAAGTAAAGATTGCATTACAAGCGGCTGCATGCCGCTTTTAAAGTGAGGTCAAAGTTGGACTCCAATATGAAGCTGCCTGATCTAATATACCTGCATTCCCACCAGCTCTGTAGTTTTATAACCACACAAGTAATACCAGGTAAGCGTGCGCACGCGCAGATTTGTGTCTACCTCTTTCATGTAAGTCATCAAATAATTGCTCCCGCATGCATGTGAGCCGTTTAGTCATTGTCTCCAACTCAAATGTCCATTCATTGAACAAATTCCTGCACATATGAGTAATATCGATGCTTGAGCAGTATTTACAAATATCTTTTCTCCTCTTCAAACTTCAAATGTATTCTATCAGCAAGATTTTTTCGAGGGCCACTTAACCAATTTTCTCCATTCAACAAACTTTTAACTTAATTAAACTATTTTGAAATTGGACCAGAAAGCGAGGTGAAGAGTTAAAACTGTAGAACTCATTCAAAGTAATTTTATTGGTGATGTTTTGGTTCCTATTCACCATCTAAATCCAAGTTGACCAAATTCAGATTTTTTGCAAGATCTGCAGTATTTTAATAAATGTAGAATTTTCTTCTAAGTTATAAAAGCAAGTCTCGAGAAAGCACATTCCACTGCTTAAGGTATTGCTTATACCATCTCGGTGCTGCAAATGTAATGATAAAGGAGCTCCTGAAAAGAGCACCACTACAACATAAAACAGCAAACCCAGTTGTAATGCTGCATATATGGCAATCATACTGGTAATCTTCAAGTAACATAAGTGTAAATAACCAATACCGTGGTGAAAAGGCCTCAATGGTGATCTAGAAGTGCTGTTCCACAACTTATTTCAAAGTATGTTTTTGAAGAAAGATAGACCCTTCAATTGTTTCTAAAAGGAAAACATGTTTTGCACATCTTTATCGACTAGATTGCAAAACATGGAATATCTAAAATTAGACAACTTTAAGTAAACATTTAATTGCCCTCAAAAGCAGCATGCAGTGCTGCAATTTGCTCAATCTCACAAAAACTCCATGTTAAAATAACTAAATATATGCACCAAACAAAAAGTGTTTACCTCTCCATGTTTCTTATGCCCAAAGAATTCACCAAGGACATTCCATAGCAAAAAGCTGATTTTTTTTTCCAAATTAAGTGCAAAAAAAACCCTTTGTACAAGTTGAGGTACTTTATACCTGTCTTTTAAGATGGTAGCTGCAATGGCAGCACCATGAATTGGAGGATTTGAATACATGGGTCGAATCAGAAGCTTCAACTGACTCTCAATAAGGGTTGCCACATCCGCAGTCTTGCAAACCTACAACATGAATAAGGGGTTATGACAAAATAACAGGAAAAGCATGAAAGCCATTCCACTTCTCCACAACAGAATACATAAGAGAAGGCAAATTCCCACATTTGTGGACATCTATTTCTAAGATTCTAATTTGATAACTTACTACACTGAGTGCACCAACTCGTTCTCCATAGAGTCCCATGTTCTTTGAGTACGACTGGACAACAAGGCATTCACCACCATCAGCAACAAACTTTCTCACAGCTCGTGCATCATCTTCTAGGCTTGCACTTACGAAACCCTGAATATATAGACAAACATTAAATGGCCACTGCTTCCACATATCAAACAACTTCAAGAATACACAGCATCGCTCTACTATTAGTAAATATCTACCGGCAAACAAAAGTGGAAAGTGAAATCAGTGACCATAGTTTAGCAGAGTTAATTAAAACAGCAGAAAGAATATGTTGCAATAATCTAAGGTGCATATAGGTCTGATCTATTAAAGAGATTAACAGAATCTGACTAAAATCCTCCTAGATTAATATGATGGACCACTAACCTGATAAGCACAATCAAAGAATGGAAGCAACCCTTTTGATCTGATAATCTGTCTGATCTCCTCCCACTGCTCAACCGTTGGATCAACACCAGTAGGATTATGTGCACAAGCATGGAGTAGCACAATAGCTCCCGATGGAGCAGAAGCAAGGTCTTCCAAGATACCTGTTAGATGACACAAGTGAAATACACAAACATCTACTCCAGGTGTTGAAAACAAAAGCAAAACAAAAGAGAAACATCAATTCCCTAGAGGACAAGGAGGGTTGTCCATGTTGTGATTGAAGTTATGTGCTTGTTAGAGCATGGCTTGCTATCATCTACTCCAGGTGTTGAAAGCAAAAACAAAATTAAAGAGATACGTCAATGCCTTAGAGGACGAGCAGGGTTGTCCATGTTGTGATTGAACTTATGTGCTTGTTGAAGCATAACTTGCTATCATGTCTAATTAACTTAAAAGAAAATCCGCAGCAAGTGCTATAGTAAAAGGCGGACAATAAATGACATGGAAATTTGAGCCTGCAAACAAATGAGAGGTACAGATTATAACAAAAAGTAGAGGTCATAAGTGGAGAAGATCAAAAACCTTGGAAGTCTAGCCCTCTTGTCACTGGATCATAATAGCGGTAAGTCCTCAAGCAAAGCCCTGCTGCTATGAAGAAGTTCGGATGGTTACCGTATGTTGGCTCAGGAAGGTATACTGTCGACTGCAAAACAAGTCAGGTAATTGACATACAACAATGTCCAATCATCATTAGAGCAAAATGAAGAATAAAATTTTGGAGAAACCAACATTTACCTGGTAATAATATTTTGCTAAGAAATCGGCACCAATCCTCAGTGAGCCACTCCCAGACAAGCATTGCACGGTGGTCACTCTATTTTCTTTAATTGCAGGGCTGTCATAAAGCATGTCATTATAAGCGAGCACCCCAGTCTTCTCTCCACAACGAGGATACAAACTGCGAAATTATGGCGTGAAATGCATTTTATATCCTTGATCTATGGAGGGTAGTGCAGACTTTGCCCCCTTACTAAATGGAGCACTCTTCCAGGCTCAAGTCTCTCTCTCTCTGCCTCCCTCGTTTTTTTAAGTCACACAAGGTATCCAAATTTTCTGACTTGACCAATTACCACAGAAACATGCAGACCCCCCAGTCCACATGCATCAGAGGTGACACTCCACTTGCAGGGCAGTTGGCACGGCAAGGTTACTCTAAGTGGAAGACACTGTGATTTGAACAGGGATTAACAACTCAGCCGACCCTTGGGGGTTTCCCAAGCTCAGCTTTCATTTAAGACAATCATCAGCCGTATACATCTTCCATGTCTTGCATGTCTTTGAGATGACTGTTAGAACTAAACATTCCCTTTACCATGGCTGAGCAATCCAACAGCTGAGACGTGCTCAGTAACCAGATCCAAACGTCTTCCGCTCCTTTTTCATGAACTCTCTCTCTCTCTCTCTCTCTCTCTCTCTCTCTCTCTCTCTCTCAATGAGACGGCTGCCATATAGCAATGTGTGCTTCTAAGAAGTCACTTTCCACTTTAGAGCCCAAAAGTCACTTCAAATGTACAGATGTAAACAAACACAGGAGGTAAAGACTGTTGCAAAATCACAGTTAATAGTGGTTAGGCAATGCAATAAATCTAGGGGGCCAAGTGCTCGATCCCATATTGAAATAGGGTAAGATGCAATTTTCCGAGAATTGAGATTGAAACAAGTCAGTCCACTGCTATAAGCAAATACAAGTATCGCAACACCAAATTTTTAATAGATAAAGTATTGCGCGTTGATATTGTGAAACTGGAAAAAATATTGAGGAACCCAAACAGTTATCTAGCAGAATCAAACCGTTATACCTGTCTGTACCAAATATTAGCTTAGCACTCAGTTCCCTAAATTCTGTCAGTCCAGTAATTGGCAAGTATTCTTTATTAGCGGACCTGTAAGATGTGCAAATAGTTGTTCACTTCCGCACCATTGGATCATGAAAGATAAAGCAAATGCACCTTACGGGTCACTAAAAAGGAGCTCTTCTGCTTTTCTAACCACATTTAAAAGAAGAGGTCTGCCGTCCTGTTTTGCCAATCATACAGACAAGAAGAAACCAAAAGCCACTATGATCAGCATTTAATCTATTGCAATCACAAAAGCAGTGAATAGCATTAATGGTAGCTTGGCGTGAGGACATCCAAGTGACTAAAATGTTCAAGCAAACCCTTCAACTTTTCTCATTGAGAAAAACCCTACTAGCAATTTTATGACCACGGATTCATGAATAGAGTAGTTAAGAGCAACGAGCGACAGAATATCGATGCTTTTTCACACCACACTCAAATGTAAAACACCAACATGACCCAAGAAAGACTCACCTCCGTCCTGTAAACACCCATGCCCAGGTTCAGCTTCACTGGGCTGGGATCTTTACTGCATGCAGTCATCACCTATTTTATCAAAGCAACAGCAAAGTTCTTCCATAAATTGAAAATAGTAGCAATAGCTGCAACACCCAGTAAATAATAGACCACACCTTCATTTAACTGTTTAAGCTTTTAGAACAATTGGCAATAGTTCATCAAAATTTTTACACCCGGATAGCACATCCACTGGACTTTGTTACGTTCACAACCCCTGTTTCGCACCTAACACGAAACTTACACTTAAAGTGATTCCTAAGTAGCATGCTCGATGTTCGCCATAAAACGGCGATTTTCCAGGCCCCCCGACACAATTCAAGCAATCCCGAGAAACTGGTCGCTTGACCAAAATTGGTAGCCCGTTGCCTAAAACCATCAAAACTTTCAGACAGCTAGAGAAAGGAGACCGAATCTCATCCCCATTTGTTTCTTTCATGGTGAGGTTCCATATATATCGAGCCAACAGCCAACATATAACAAACAGCTTGCGTGCATCCCATGTTATGGCCATCAGGACGGCTACCGAGAGTTCGGTAACCCAGTGTCTCGGAAGCGAAAGCGAAATTCAGTGGCGTACCGCATAAACCGGGATTTCGGGAGCTCGAGGCACATGAGCAAACGCGGACTCAGCACCGCAATGCTTAGCCATGGTTGTCTCTTCGCGTCGGTCGGGATCGTTCTCCGACTCCATTTTACACCCCCAGAGAGAGACAGAGAGAGAGAGAGAAGCGGAGCAGAAACGGTGACACCCTTTTCCTGTAAGAACTGAAAATCATTGACAGCGGCGAGTGTCCACAGCCACAAGAGGTCAATGTCGTCGAAATCCTTAAAAAGATATTTTTACATTTTTATAAAAGTTGGGCAGAGGCAACTACTAAAAAATTAAAGGAATAATGATACAATACGCAATATAATCCATGGACTTTTAATTTATTCGATATGATTTATGAATTTTAACTCAATGTGTAATGTAATTTCTGAACTTTTAATTTATTCGATATGATCCATGAACTTTAACTCAATGTGCAATGTGGTTCCTGAATTTTTAATTTGTTCAATGTGATCCATGAATTTTAGGTATGCGTTAAATGTAGTCCCTAAATGTTTAGTATTGTTCTTCTATTAATTCGAGATTAGATACAACTTAAAAGTTTAGGAACCATATTATTTATTGAGGTAAAGTTCAGGAATCACATTGAATAAATTAAAAATTTATGAACTACATTGCATATTGGTCCAAAATTTAAGGACCATTGGTATCATTTTCCCAAAAATTACATACAAATACAACTTATTAAATAATATTATTTTTTCACGTTATAATAAGCAATGTTTTGCCAATCAAACTTTTTTTAAAGTATGAATTTACTTTTTCTATGAAGGAACAATTCACAAAGCAATCTTATCCAATTTTAATATTGAGGATGCTAAAAGATATTGATAGTTTCCATACGGATGTTATCGAGAGAATATTTATATATGTCCCAGTGTACTCGTTAAGTAAATTTAATTTCAAATATTACATTTTCTAATACAATGATTGCACATAGTACTACAAAGGTTATTGCATTAAGAAAATTGCAAAACTTCTTTAACCTGTTAATTAACAAATCTCGCGAGTCGCTCTTTAGTATGATCCTGTTCTTTTTACTAGCACTATAATAAATTTATCCCCACGTATTTCAGTTGATTTTCACTATAATTTATCTATATTGATGAAAAAGTAAAGAGATGTTCATACTTTTAAATTTTTAAATGGATTACAACCCCATCTTTCGTTCCCAAAAGAGCGTCTTTAGTAATTTGATAAATGAATTATTGTTAGATAAGTACGTCAACTAATAATTTTATGGGAAAGAACCACCAAAAACCCTGAACTTTGCCATATGTGACACATTTACCCCGAACTTTTTTTTGTGACACCAAAAACCCAGAACTTTGCTTTTTGTGACACATTTACCCCAATGTATTTAGTCCATGGGCATTTTCGTCTTTTTTGCTTTTTCTTTTTTTTTTCTTTTTTTTTCCTTTCCGGCGAGGGCCGCCGGATCTGGCGAGGGCCGCCCTCGCTCGACGCCGGCGAGGGCCCCCCTCGCCGGATCCGGCGATGGGCAGCCCTTGCCCGACGCCGGCGAGGCCCCCCTCGCCGGAAAGGAAAAAAAAAGAAAAAGCAAAAAAGACGAAAATGCCCATGGACTAAATACATTGGGGTAAATGTGTCACAAAAAGCAAAGTTCAGGGTTTTTGGTGTCACAAAAAAAAGTTTGGGGTAAATGTGTCACAGATGGCAAAGTTTGGGGTTTTTGGTGATTTTTTCCCTAATTTTATTTTACTTTTTACTTGTTTCAATTTTAAATTGGATTTCTTTTTCTACCTTAACAACAATTTCAAATTTTCGAATATTTCTTTCTATCTTCTATATAGTAAGGTAAAACATTCAATTGACTCATTTTTTCTTCCAAAAATACCTTTCATAAAATAATAAGAAAATTATAACAATATTTCTGTCCACAACTCAATATCCACTTGCTCCACTAGAAATGTGACGTTAGCTATTCGAATGATCTACTCTCAATCATGTTCTCTTTTTTCAAGCCAATAATATTTATTTAATTTTTCACACACATGGAGCGGGTGTGCAACTTTAATACAAATTTAGTACAATTTATATATATTGTGTAATTTTTATTAAGTGATAAAATAAATAGTCTCTGAACTTTGACCTACTGTACAATGCGGTTCCTGTACTTTTATTTTGTTCAATATAGTCCCTGAACTTTAACTTAATATTTAATATGATGTCTAGTTCATGACTATATTAAACATTTTCATATAGTTCATGTACTAAATTGAACATGCACCAAAAGATTAAGAACAATATTGAATATATTAAAATTTCAAGGACTGCATTGCATATTGGGTTTAAGTTTATGGACCATATTGTACTTCGGATCAAAATTCAGAGACCATTCGTGTTATTTTTCCTTTTATCAATAAATTTTTTTATTATTAAACGGTTCAAATATTTCGGAACGAAAGCAATTTTCTTACTTTTTTTTATTGTTTTTTGTGAGAAATTTGCTTTATTTTATTCCTCGCATCTACGCGCATATTTTCTAGCTTAAGAAGAAAACAAACAAAAACCGCATAATTTGCTGCGCCGGAAGACCACGCGAGCCCTGTCGCTTTGTGCAGCACCCTGCCGCCTAAATCGAAAAAATTAGAAAAAGGAGAATAAGCACACCGAGCACGTAATAACCGTCCGATGCAAAAAGTCGGCCGAATCAACGGCCGCCGAACCCTTCGAGGGCTGGGCCACGGACACGTGGCGACGCGTCGTTCGCCCCCGTCCTTTGATCGCTGTATCGAGGTGGAGTAGTTCAAACAAAAAAAGAAGAAGAAGAGCGGAGCAGAAAAAGAAGGAAAAAAAAAAAAATCATTCCTCAACGGAAGGTAAAGAAAATCTCGCGATCTCACGGGGGGCGCAGAGAGAACGGTAGGTTGAAGACGACGACGACGACGATTCCGTCCGTCGATTCTGCTCGGAGATTGCTCGGATAGAGGCCGAGGCTCGCCGGATCGCTCCGCGATTCGCCGGAGTTCCTTTTTGATTCTCTCTTGACGGAGCCTTGGGGATCGGTCGCAGCCGCCGCCGATCGAGCGGTTCCGATTGGCCATTGTTGCTGGTGCTGTTGTCGTTCGTCGAGATGGTGAACTCCATGGTGGAGAGAGCGACGACCGACATGCTCATCGGACCGGATTGGGCGATGAACATTGAGATCTGCGACATCCTCAATCACGACCCCGGGTGAGAGCCGCTCTGCGGACTAATCTCGTCGTTGTCGTGTTGCTGTCGAAGTATTTTTTCCGTTGCTACTCTTTTCTGCTCGGTTTGATCAAGTTCCTGCGCTGGAAGCTCGGGGCAGTGGTTGGAATTTGATCGAATAGTTATTTTGGTTGTCGAGAAGAGTTAGTGCGAAAGGGTTCTTGACGATGCTTATCGTCCAAATACGAAATATTTAAATCTTCATGCTTAACTGTCTTGTTTGGATGGATGAAGTGAGATCAATTTCGCGCGGCGATCGCATTGCAAGAGCACAGAAGCAGTCGGTTTTGTCATTGTGTTTTCCGCTTACTTGATCAAGTAGCTATGGAAGTAGTTTTGGATGGTCAAGAGGTTGGACAAGATTCATTTGGTTTTTGAGAGAAGTTCGTGTAGAAGGAATTATAAAGTTAGTGAACGTTGGTTTTAGTAACGATGTCTGATTTTTATATCTCAACCCAAAGTCGCAGTTGAATGGATGAGAGAATCTATTCAACTTAACTCAGTGGGTTTTGATAGAGAGGAAAAAGTTGTTTTGGATGCTTTCTTCTTCTCCCTACTGACCAGAAAGCTGGAAAACCGTTTTTGTGGGGGTTCCCTGGATTTTTATGTGAGTCCCAGTACATGAAACCATTAAAAGCTTGCTGTTATTATCAGGGAACCCAGAGATTATTAATCGTGACGAGTTGTATATATAATTGACATGCCATGATGAGTTCGTGACATTTTCCGATTGCTTCTGCAACCAACATACACAATGACTCCAAGTTTCCATTGTTCCACTCTACAAGGCGTGATCATAAATTCTCAAATAAAGCCCTTTAATAACTTTGATTGGACCCATTGTGATCTAAGACCTGGCCACTTGAATCTAGCTACTTTGTCAAGAAACTGAGATTGATCAAGCCACGGTGGTTTAGGCTATTTGTGAGAAATTTTATGGGATTTTGAGACATTGGATTTTCTTGAGTCATTACTTAATCAATCATTATCAGGGTTAATGTTTATGAAACTAGGAAGTTGTTGTGGTCATAAATCATACAGACTTGTGATAGGTGTCAAAATCATAAAGGTCAAATGTGACTGTGATGGGATGGTTTAATATTGAATTGCTTAAACGGTCTTGTGAATTTGCTTGGAATTGTTCTTTTCATCTAGAAGGCGAAACAATTAATGGCAAGAAAGGAAAATGTGGATGAATATTTTATAGCATAGTGGTTCAACTGTAGCTGGTGATGGTTTTCTGAAGCATGTTTCTCAGTTAGTATTTTGATTGCTTGTATTTCTGGCATCTTATCATCTTCTCTCCTGCTAGGAATGTTCCCTTTCCTGCTTAACCGGTATAGGTTTGTTTCACTCGCTGAAGGAGAAATATTTCTTCTCTAAACTTTTCAATGCTAGTTGTTAGTCTCATATTACTCACTATATTGGATTATGGGATGCATTCCTAGACAAATAAATCGAACTACCAGTTGGGTTTCCTCTTCAAAATTATTAGCCGAGCTTCTGATATTAACCATTGCAGTGTGCTTTGAGTTTTTTCTTTTGGGGTTTCCTTTGGGGTGGGGATTGGGGCGGTTTTGTTTTTCTCTATTTTTGTCAAGTTCAAGCTCTTTGAGTTGAGAAGCATCTCATCTAATACTGATTCTGGAATTTTTCTTAATTATGACGGTCCCGAGAAACTTGTTATCAGTCAAACTCTTAAGTATTTCATCACCTCTTACTTTTGCTAAACATTATGGCTCTGTTTGGCAAATTGGGAGAATGAAAATTTGGATAGAAAATTTTGAAATTGTAAAATTCTTGTGATAAAGGAACGAAGGGAAACTTTTAAATTTATTGGCATTTTCCTTCCCTTCCCCTAGAGTCTCCCACACATAGCTTAAGGACTTATTG